CAGGAGCTTGGCTCCGGAAAGACAATGGGACCTAGGATCCTAGTCCCCCCCCCCCCAGCTGACCAATGGGCTTCTTGGCGGGAAATTCAAACCCAGCGCGCTGAGGCAGCGGGTGCTGGAGGCACTCCACGAGGCGCACCCAGGGATCGTGCGCATGAAGGCTCTGGCGCGGAGCTATGTGTGGTGGCCGGGAATCGACGCTGAAATCGAGTCCTGGGTCCGGAGATGTACGCCCTGCCAGGAGGTTCGGCCCAATCCGCCCAAGGCACCGACACAGGCTTGGGAATCTACGCGCAAGCCCTAGTCCCGGCTGCACGTGGATTTCGCCGTTCCGTTCCAGGGCCTGCTATTCCTGGTGACGGTGGATTCATATTCCAAGTGGCTGGAGATCAGCCTCGTCTCCACCACCTCGACCAAGGCAGTGATCCGTTCCCTCCGCCGGATATTCGCCACGCACGGTCTGCCGGATACCATCGTTTCCGACAACGGGACGGCCTTCACGTCGGGGGAATTTCAGGAGTTCCTCCAGAAGAACCTGATCTGGCACATTCGCTCGGCGCCCTTCCACCCCGCAACGAACGGGCAGGCGGAGCGAATGGTGCGGACGGCTAAGGAGGCCCTAAGCCGGATCACTGAGGGAGACTGGGAGTTCCGCTTGGCCTGCTTCCTCTTGACACAGCGGACGACCCCCAATCCCGTCACGGGTCACAGCCCCGCGGAGCTCCTGATGGGCCGCAGACCAACCACCCTGCTGGACCGCTTGCACCCAGACCGAGCACCGGAGGCCAGAAGGGCGGCGGAGCAGAGAGAAGCACCGAGGGGGTTCTTCACGGGAGACCCCATTTTCTTCCGGAACTATGGTGCCGACCCAACTTGGCTCAAGGGCCGCGTCTCCAAAGTCAAGGGCCCAGTCTCGTACGAAGTGACGACGGAGGAAGGCCGGTGGCTGGAGAGGCACATCGATCAGTTTCGACAGCGGCTGGCCCCAAGGGGCACGGACACGGCCCCAGCGCCCCCCCGGAAGATGGAGGCCAAGAGGAGGCGCCACCGCCTGACAACAGCCAACCCGCAAAGGGCCCGAGCGCGGAGGGAGGATCGGTCCCAGAAGAACCTGAACCACCAACGCAGCCACCAGAGCAGAGGGCCCCAGAACTGCCAGACCCAGGCCCTCCTCCACCGGCCCCCACACCGGCTCCTTCACTGGCACCCAGGCGTTCCACCCGAGAGCGAAAGCCCCCTGCTTATTTAAAAGACTACATCACCCAGGTGGTGTCTGAACTATGGGGGGAGGGGTGTTATGTATGCAGCCGCCACACAGCAGCCACAAGAAAGACAGGAGCTTGGCTCCGGAAAGACAATGGGACCTAGGATCCTAGTCCCCCCCCTAGCTGACCAATGGGCTTCTTGGTGGGAAATTCAAACCCTCCAATGGAGTGGGAGGCCCACGGGTGGGAGTGTCTATAGTTGGCCTTGCAGGGCCGTTGTGGGTTCTTGTGTGAAGTACTGAATAAACGTGTGCAACGGCATGTCGTTGTCCGAGTCTTCCATGTGGCGAACCAAGTACTTTACAAGCTTGGAGAAACGACAGCTGAGGGGTGACGTGATTGAGGTTTATAAGATTATGCACGGGATAGAGCAGGTAGAGAAAGAGGCACTTTTCTCCCTTTCTCACAATACAAGAACTCGTGGGCACTCCATGAAATTGCTGAGCGGTCGGGTTAGAACAGATAAAAGGAAGTCCTTCTTCACCCAAAGAGTGGATTCACACATGGAATTCACTGCCACAGGAGGTGGCAGCGGCTACAAGCAGGGACGGCTTCAAGAGGGAATTGGATAAACGTATGGAGCAGAGGTCCATTGGTGGCTGTTAGCCACAAGGTATAGATAGGAACTCTGGGGCAAGGGATGCTCTGTATTCCTGGTGCTTAGGGGGCGGCAAGAGTGGGAGGGCTTCTAGTGTCCTGGCCCCACTGCTGGACCTCCTGACGGCCCCTGGTATTTCTGGCCCCTGTGTGACACAGAGTGCTGGACTGGATGGGCCACTGGCCTGATCCAACATGGGCTTCTCTTATGTTCTTATGTTCGTTCTGTTTTGTTTCTCGAGCATCCATATGACATCTTGCTTCCACAGCCCTCTTTCAAGGTCTTTCCTACTCTCAATACACTCCTTCCCAAACCTGCTTTATCTCAGGCTTTGTGGAAAGAATGCAGGCCGCGTTTGCGCGTTTGGAAGGAGAGGGGCACCTTTCCCCATTTCAAGGGCCCAACCTGTGTCAGTGTGGCATTCCCACTGTCGGTCAGCCTCGCCTCCTAAATGTACATGCTGGCCTGTTCGAATCCTTTGAAGCACCGCGAACATCTGGGAAAGCAGTCTGACCAGAGACAACTGCGACTCATTGGGTTGCCAGCCTCCAGGTGGGGCCTGGAGGACCCCCAGATTTACGGCTAACCCCCAGGCAGCAGGGATTTGGTTGAGGCAGAGGGCGTCCAACGAAGCCGGCCTCCCCTCACTGACGTTTGTCATCATTATACGGCGCAGGCGGAGATGACCTCCGGAGCCAACCACTCCGGCTGAAACTGTGTTTGTGTTTAAACGCAACTGTTTTAAATTGCATTACTTCGCTGTTTTAAATATTATTGCATTTATTAATGCATGCTTTTCTCTATTTATGACGTGACCCATTCTTGAGCCTGCTCGCGGGGAGGGCGGGATACAGATCCAAATAAATAAAAACAAGAACCAGTTTGCCCCTGGGGAAAATGAGCCGCTTTGGAGGGTGGGCTCGAAGGTATCATACCCGGCAGAGG